GTAGATGGTAGTGCTTTCACCAATGACAGAAAAAAACTGAGGGAAAGAGAAAGTTTGCCTACAGCTGTGTCATAGCAGAGTAGAGCTTAGGATCCCAGCATTCTGGCTCAAAAAGCTGTACCTTAATTACCATTCTATGAGCCCCCGAGAGGTGAAAAGTTGAATCCCTCAGAAACAAAACCCTGAGATAATCAGGCAGGGAAGCCAGGAAAGAAACAAGAGTAGAAGTGGATTAAGCTAGAAGGAAATCTTAGGTTTATCAGAGCTTCAGACAGAAAGAGAGTTCTTTGGCCAGAAATAAGTCTATCTATGTTGGGTGGCTGAAATAAGGGGTTCCAGACCCTGGTATTCCAGTGAAGTTTATGTGCTCAGCTGGCAAAGCTCCACTCTTTGGGATCTTCCCCAGCACACTGAAGGTGGTCCGAGGGCCCTTGCTGCTTTGTGTGGCATTGCCATGTCTTACACACAGGATGTAGGATGAAAATGTGGTGCTGCAGGGGCATCGTAAGTCACCCTATCCTCAAGGCCATCCTCTGAAGAAGAGGACCTGTCCAGCTTACTGGGGGTGGTGCTGAAGTAAGTTAAGAGCTGCATATTTCCGAAAGAATTGAAACATAAGCCCATTTTGTTTCTGAAACTCTACACTACATAAATCCAGCCATTGAATCTAGAACTTCCTGAGTCTGCAGAACATGCAGGGTCTCTCCTGGCCAGACATCATGTCATATACACATATGAATGACAGGAAACGTGGATAAAAAACATTGTCAGGCTTTGAAATTGCTTAGGCACCTCCCCAAGGACTTAGGAGAAGAGTTGGCAACAGCCAGAGCTGGGCCAGGCTGATGCCAGAAAAACCATCCTGCCTCCAAGCCCATCATTGACTCAAGATGACTCCAGATTTCAACTTTGCTACAAAGACAAAGTATTAAGGACATCAAATGGAGGAAGGTACGAGCGATGGATGCTGAGTTATCTGAGTGTCCCCCGGCCATGATTCAAAAGCCTTTTTACTACAGTGAAGGTAGGGAGATAGAGCTTACCTTCAAGTGCATCCAGTTCAACCTCTTGCTATAGGATAGATGACAGATTAGAGGTTTGGAGGCTGAGATCAGAAATGGACCAGCCGACCAAGTTAATTGCTGATTACCAGGTCTCCTGATCTATGAATTCAGGTGGTCATACTGCCAAATTAGATTAGTAACATACTTGGACACCTGTCTATATACCAATGCACAGAAAATCTTCAAACACAGTTTGTAGCTTAAAATATGCAGGAGTGTGCACACACACACACAGACATACACATACACACACAGATGGAGTGGGGATTGGAATAGATTATGTTCAGGTCCTCAATTGCAGAAACCAACTTCTACAATTAGGGAAAGATTTGTCACAAAGACCTTAGCCTACATAGTCTGGGCATTTTGGAGGGGTGAACTTGGGACTCGTCAGCTGGACATTAACAGCTAAATAATTCCAGATTTCTATTTAATTTGAGGCAATATAGCTCTGTATTTGACAGAAAGAGGACTGTGTCACCATGTGCAGAATCCAGCTCCACAGATGGAATGATCTTTTCCTTATTAATTTGCTGCATGTTGCTTCTCATTTTTTTGTAGTTGTTCCAAATGTGTTACAAATGACTACATGTTCTGGGTACTGAATCCACTATTGTTTTTGCTTTGAAAGGAAAGGGGGAACTGTAATTGTGAACTGCAGTGATCTTTCTGGGCACACATTTGTATGTGTACTTTTAAAGCATCAGTGTACTCTCCCAACACTGAGCGCCTCAGAGTACCCATTCTCTTGCATTTTTAGGAAATAGAAATCTAGATGGTTTGGAATTATATTTTGGGGGCTGTAGAAAGAGGTAGTGCATGGCTAGGATCATAACCATTTCAAATTCTTGAGCTGCATTATTTCTGTTATTTCCCATTATCTAGAAGAACACATGAAGAACTGATTGCTTAATCCCCCGAATCCAATGACACTTACATTTGAGTGGGCACAAAGTCACTGGCTGGAACACAGCTTTCTGGGCCCTACCCCCTGAGCTTCTGTTTCAGGAATACACATTGCTAACAAGTCCCCAGAGATGTTGCCATTCCTGTTGGCCAGAAATCACACTCAGAATCACTGCAGCATCAGTTCCATTGGAGTAAATGAGTATTGCCATCCCCAAATAAACGCTGTTTAGTGTCTTTCTTAAAAGATCTATGTTCTTTAAGGATTTCTGTCTTTTCTTTTTCCTTCCTGAGATGTTAGCTTTGACACTAATTTTTAAACCCTGGGGCTCAGTGAGAATGAGCTTTACTAAATTCAAATGTGTAGCACAGTACTTGAAATAGATTTTTCCAAAATGTGAGCACTTAAACAAAAATATTTCCCATCCCTTCAGCCATTCACACAGACCAGCTTCTAATGTGTAAGGAGTCATTAGACACATGATGGAGGACTAAAGTGTGGTGCTGCAGAGGCATCATCCCTGGCTAATGTGGAGCTCGCATTTCAAGTCCTCAAATTCAGGCCAACATTTTTATTTACGGGCTTAAGTCATGTCCTCTCATTGAATAAGACATTATGTGTGAGATTTTTTTTTCAGGACAGCAGGGTTTAATTTTCCAAGGGACATTTATTTGTCAGGTATTAATATATATATATATATATGTGTGTGTGTGTATATATATATATAAAGCAGCTCAGTTTATATGAAATAATTTGTGCAAATGTCTTGTTTACACTGTGTGTGATGAGATTTAATAACATGGTACAGCAGATTTCACCATTGAAATGATCAAACACTTAGCATTGTTATTCTGAAAAGCAAATTCCAGGCTGAATAGTTCCTGATCTGGTGGTTTGTACCAAGAAAATAATTGGAGATGTTAAGATAAAAGTCTAGGGGAATCCTACTTAATGACACAGAACTGGATCTTGTTCTTAATGAGGAAAATCCTGTGGAGGGCACAAAAAATAAGGAAGTTGAGCTTTTTTTTTTCTGAAAAGAATTAAAATGGTAGCTAGGAAAAAAACCAGAAATCTATTAAGCTGCTCAGAATGATTAGAGTAGTGGTGTGAGTGGAATAGAATGTTCATAGATGGTTCCCAGTTCGCAGTGGCAGCAACCATAGGAGTTGGCTCTTAGGAGGTGAGTTCATCAGCCACTATTTACCTCCGTGTAACCCAGATGCTCCCACCCTATCCCACAAACCAACTAACCAGCCTTTAAAATAATACTGCACAACTGAAGGAATAATGGTCCAGGGTCCATCAAACATCAGTTTTGCTGGTCAATATTTTGAGGTTGGATTTCATTCACGGACGTTTTTTTCCAGGTGAAACATGTCATTTCTCTATATCTACATACATCATTTCTTATTCCAATTATTAATATTCTTTAACAATGGCTTGCCAAAAAAAAAAATCGCAACCATTTCCATTTGTAGAATAGGCTGGAAATGGGCTCAAACTCTAATACAGCCAGGAATATGAGGTGAACTGAAGCAAGGCCTAAAGACTTTGGTTTCAGTTCAAAAGATGTTCAACTTTTTATCCATAGTCTAAACTGGCGAATTCTAAAGATTTAACTCAGATTCTCATTCAGAACTGAGACAACAATCATAGAAGTAGTGCAGTACAACTAGTGTCCACAAAAACTTTGCAGCATGGTGAAAAATAAATCAAAGCAATGGTCTAGTTCTAGGCATCTTAATGATTGGACAAGATTTGGCTGCTTACCCAGCAGCCACACTACTGTGGTTATTCTTGTTAACTCCAAGTTAGTGAATGGACACCTGCATCTTTGTTGTTGTTTCTCTAACCTTATCTTTTGACTAGTCATTTTGACTAAACTCTGTAAGTAATTTGGACGTCACATTTAATTCTCACTTTGTTTTACTAAATCCTTTCAAAAATATTTTAGATGTCCACAACTATGAAAATTGGCTAAGCCTGGTGTTTACCAAAGTCCTAATTCCATGGTTGGGCTGTCATGCCTGGCAGTCAAGAATTTGTTAGAGTTTAGAATACTCTGCAAATTCACTGGACAGAATGGAATAATTCATCTAGTTCTATCTGACCTTCCATACACACAACACAAGTCAACGTTTGTTATGACTTTCTTGATCCTTATTTATAAGACAATACAAGGGGAAACCATGTGTGTATGTTTGAAATAGAAATGATACATTGCACAGATATAGTTCACCACGTTCTGGGATGGGTTGTCAGTGCTCAAATGGGGATTCTGAAGAGTAGGAACAGATGCTTTTTTTCCTTAATGGCCCTTTCTCTAATTTAAAATCCTTCCATTTATTTCACCAAGATTTAGTGATAACTTTAAACACTTTTACTAAATTACCCAGCGGCTTGGCAGCCGCAAATCTTTTAGAGGCAAATCTTTTTAGAAATCCTAGCAATCTGTTAGATTGTGGGTACTATAATATAAAATCTGCAAGCTCCTTGTACAAAAATTAAATCGGTGCAATGGATACAAAATGCATACTGTAAACTGAGGGTGTATAACCTGTTTCCACATACTGAATTTCTGTATTTTTTCCCTGTTTGTTGACTTCCTAAATGTGGATTCATTTATTCTCATTATCCCTAAATAAAACAACTTTGATTTTTTAACAGTTATTTTATAACCACATAGAGCCAACCAGCCCTGATTCATGGATTTTGATGTTGCTAGGATACATGGTTTGCTATTTCATGAAAGAATATCACTTCAAAGAGGAAAACTTTCAAGTGTCCTAGAGAATGACACTCCTGTCTTCCACTGTGGAAGACAGATCCAATCCCAGAGCTTCTCCAAAGCTCACAGGTTGCAGGATTGGCCTCCCCAGGCCCTGACATAAGCATCCTCTCTGGGGGTTGTTTAGTTGCTAAAACTAGTCAGATTGGTCTTAAAAGCAAGGAACACACGTATTTATAATGATACACGTTTTCATGTTTGTTTTACAATGAAGAGAAAAAAACCCAGAACCCCCAGATTTTATGTACTTTGAAAATATATTTAAAAACATTAAAAATTCTATATTTAAAACATATATGTTAATTAGTACACTTAAATAGAGTTGTATTTACATAGGCTTCTGATGCGGTTAAGTTTTAATGCCAATTTTTTTCAATAACATAATTATATAAATATACTAAAATACAATAAATATCTTTTTTGTTGTTGTTTTACATGGTGAATAATATCTTTACCATAGAGAGAACAAGGCCACAGACAATTACTTACATTTTCAATGGATATCACCATAAAAAAGCAACAGGCCTGCTGCCATGCATGAAACACTTCTGCCACAAAGAGACCACAGCAAGACTTTAAAAAAAAACAGAACAAACAAAACAGAACAAGAACAAAGAGCAACAGAGAGAAGTTTTAACAAAATAAATCTTAGATCAACATAAATCACCAAGCATGTGACTGTGCGGTATCTCACTGGGTAAGAGAGAGCCACTTACCACACAATCGCTAAACGTCTCCTATGAAACCGCTTAACATAGCTGGCCCTTGCAATACTCTAAGATTGCTATAGGGACTTTGTTTTGAAAAATTTTGCCCTTCCAAAGGAAGCTGCAAAAAGTTAACATACAGCAGATATTCCAAGCATTCCTTACAGGCTAAAAATAATTACAAAGATAATATTTCCCAATGTCACATAACAAACCTATACTACATAAAGTCTTCCTTGTTTTAAAGACAAGTGTTCAGATGACACTGTAAAAGATAGGCCAGTTGTAAATGAAAAATGGAACAAGCAGAAATTATTTGCTGGTGGTATCTTTATTCCCTGGAACATATACTTATCCCTCACCATGTGCACATGCAACAACATTTGCTGGCAGCTGTTTGTGACCCTCAAGGACACCAGTCCAGATAGTAACCACCAGCATTTTCAGGTATTAAAGCAGGCTGAATAGGTTAATGGGATGAGCACTGATTTTCATTATGGTCCATTTTATCTCAGGACCACTAATTCCAGGTTTCTAGTTTGATTTCTCCTAACCCAAAATAGCAGAGGTGAGGCAGGGGCCCTCTTAATAAACAGACAGGATGGGCAGGAGGTTGCTGTGGCCTACACTGGGAAGCAAGATTTTGCCAGCTGTGTCCCAGCCTCTTCTATGGAACAAGGCATCTTCCCAGAGTCTTGCCTCTGAACAAGATTTCTATCAATAGCCTTGGTCACTTGGCTTGAGTTTTGGGGCCTTTTTCTGTTCCTTTCATTTTTTTTCTCAAGAGATAAAACCCTGGTTACCTCAAACCTAATTTCAATGCAATTAAGTGTTCATGTAGCAAGCATCTTCTATTTCATTGCATGAATCGCGTGGTCACAAATGCCACATTGGACTCCAGAACTGTTCCAGGCTAATCCAACTTTATGCACATTTATCCAGGAGTAGAATGGAGGGCATAAGTTGGTTTGAGTGTGGTCCTCCAGCTGAGAACCTCTTGAGCACAGTTAGATAATGTAGGCACTTAAAGCATGAGGTCCAAGCAATTTGACTCATGTCATTCCAGAGTGTCCTTGAAAGGGTTCTTCAGAGGCCTTCGTTTTGGAATGTCTCAAGTACCATTCCCCACCTCCACCTAGCCCTTGTGAGGGCTACTCAGAAATTCCTCCTGCATTGCCAAGAATGATGTCAGCTCCACATAACCTTCATCTAGCTGCTTAGTCTCATTTCACTCGCAATATGGATTCCTGCTCTGACCTAGGTTTGCTGGATTCATTCAGAATTCCTACTTTCACTTGCAGCACATTTTCCAGCCTTCCCCTGATTTTTTTAAAAGTGTTAGAATGACTTATGCAAATATTCACTTCTAAAAAGGAAACAATTTTTTGCTTCTGTTTGTTGTTGTTTTCTCTTCTTTAAAAAAAAAAAAGGCAGGGGAAAAAAAAAATCACTGTTCTCCATGCTTATAAGAGTGCCATGATGGGACACAATTTGTTGAGTTATTCACAGCAGTGGTGAAATATTTCAGAGCGCGCAACTGAGTTTCAAACCCTCCCCCCACTTAAGTTAAAACAAAACAAAGAAGGGACCAAAGGGGGAGGGAAGGAAAGAATGTGCTCTGAGCAAATGCAGGTCTTTCCAAGGAAAGAATCTCTCCCGTTCCCCTCCAACCAATGCACAAAGAGTGAGCAGGGGCCTGAGAGATGCATCATGTAGTTAATGTGAACATTTCATTCATTTGCCTTAGCTTTTATTCACTTTCCAGTCATCTGATTGATACTGTGAACATGTTTACAACATACAAATGTATCTTTCATCAATCAGAATATATACTGAAGGGATTCTTTCTCCATCCCTACTCCCTGTGGGAACTAAAAAACAAAACAAATAAACAAAAATAAAGCACAAAACAAACAAAAACTTACCCCATCCCATCCCCCCAGCCCCTAAGCCAGAAAAGCAATGACAACAGCACCTTGACATTGTTTTAATTCCAACGCTATCAGAAGTTAAAAGCAGTAAAACAGATAGAATACTAACAAGAACGAAGATACTTACTGTCTAAAATGTAAACGGAATGTTTTGGTTCAAATTTTTGTTATTGTTATTTTTGTCTGTTTTCTGAAAGAGGACAGTTTATTATCAATTCACAATTAAAGCAGCATGCAATTTATTATTTTTTTAAACTTTTTATGTTTTCAATTCTTGGCAATGGCAACAAACCACAACATTATCAAGGAATGTAATGCAGACTTTTTAAAGTTGTGCGCAAATGACTGTTTCCCTTCTGGTCATGGATATGTCCAATAAATAGATTGTAGAACCACGGTACTGTATAAACTTCATTTATACATGCAGTTCATAAAATTATCTTTTTCTTAACTGAATAATTTACCCTGTTATGTATATATACAAATAGATAATTTTTGTCTCAATATAATCTATACAACATAAATCCACTATCTTCCCCTTTTAATGGTCAATGTACATACACAAGAAGTGTCTATCCTTATGAATCGCCAGCCAATTCGCTTTTTGCTATCCATGGTAAGGGCCCGCACGTACGATTGGGTAGTTCGGCACTGGGAGTTCCAATGCCTTTTGTCTATGCCTCTGCAGCCTTCTTTCGTGTAACCCATGGGATTGCATTTGGTCTCGTAGAAGTACTGCTTCAGTTGGCCTTTCGATACAGGGACCTTCTCAAGGACTGTGACGGTCCCACCTGACATGTCCACTGCAGTCTTTTTGTCTGCCGCTGTCACCCACTCACTGATACTGTCACACACGCTCAGCTCCCCACGACGAGCAGGGTCAGAGTGGCGGCGGACCCTCATGGACATGTTTGCAGCATCGAGATAATTTTTGTATTCCTCCAGCAGAAACAGAAGAGGAGGCTCCAAAGGCACTTGACTACTAAGCATCACCCTGGAAGAGTACAAGTCCGCGTCCTTATTGCTTTCTTCATTGGGTCGAACTTTCTGGTCCTCGTCCAGCAGCTCTTCAATCACATGTTCAAAAGTGTCAGCCAATGATGTCACGCCTCTTGAACCTGTTTTGGGCCCATTCATGCTCTCCAGAGTCCCATGGGTCCGCACAGCCGGGTACGCCAAGCTGCCTTGTCCTCGGACGTTGGCTTCTTTCATGGGGGCAGCCTTCATGCAACCGAAGTATGAAATAACCATAGTAAGGAAAAGGATGGTCATCACTCTTCTCACCTGGTGGAACTGTAGGGAAAAACACAAAGAAGACACCACACTGGTTAGGGTTTTCTTTCACAGGGATACAGTGGAGCCCATCTGATTGTAATTCCAGGCCATTCTGCAGGGTCAACGAATTTTGCATCTTGATGATCAACTCCAGCTGCACCAGGCACAAATCAATGTCAGTGGTGTGCTCTATGTGGTTTAATGTAAACCAGAGACATGCAGTTTTCCCCAACACAAGGAATATAAGCCTTAGATGGGTTTCATGCAAGTGAGAAAATTGTGGCATCAAGTTCTCCTTTCTCTTCTCACTTTCAGCAAGCTTTGTAAGTGTAATTGTAAAAGCTCTCTGCTCGTGGTATCTCAAAAACCACAACATCAGAAATGTTACCAAAAACTACTGCCAGTGTAGCAGTAATTATTTTTTTAAGTTAGCAATGCATTCCTTCTCAGCAATGTGTCACAGGAACACAAGTGGCCAGAAGGGTCTGATGAGCCTTCTGGTTATGTGATGTCCCAACATGAACAGCATAACATTAAAACAGCAAATACAGAGCTATAAGATCCTTTACGTTGACCTTTTTTCCTCCCATAGAAGTAAATATTACATTGTGGAAGATAAAGATTTCATTGAGCCACGCTATTCTCAATAAAGAAATTAAAAGGCCATACAGGATTTATCCCATGCCATGAAGAAAGTTTATATTAGAAGTCTGGACTCTCAACTCCAGTGTTCTTTCTATTACACCTGGGTGGTCACTGAAAATGTTTTTCTTATCTTTAGACAGAAAACTATTTTCTTTATGTTTATTTTAATGCTGTGTTCCCTGCCTGGGGCTGATGTCACAAAAACAATGTGTTCACTTTAGGAAAAAACTAGAGAAGTAAGCATCAAAAATCCATTTAAACCCGTTTCAAATACCTCCCATATACAGGTTTTACATTTATCTCTACCAATTCTCTGAAGCCCTCAGTCTTTTGGCTTATCTGGCTAAAATACAGATCTCCCCCCACATAACTCTCTTTTTAATTGGAAATATGATCCTATGTTTGCATGTTTGTGTGTGTGTGTGTGTGTGTGTGTGTGTGTGTGTGTAAGAGAAAGGCAGGCAAGGCAGAGGACTGTGGGAAAGCAGGCTCTGATGTTCTCATGTTTTTAGAAAACTGAATGATATTTTACATATTTTGGAAAAGGCAGCAAGTGTGCCTTTCTGTGCTTTTGAAGCTTCCTGGGAAGTCCCCCAACAGCATGCCACAATATTAATCTCTTTCTGTTGGCCAGAGGGTTGCTGTAACCTCAGTTAGACTCTACCTCGACAAGGAAGCTCTAGGAGGCCAATTAAAATGGATAAAGAAGCAAAATGAAACATACCTATGGACCAACCCAAGGTTACCATCAGGTGGTGAAGGACTTCAGTATCACTTACCTGAAGTATTGTGTCCCTTAGGAGCAAGTAGTAGCATCGCTCAGCCCTAACCTTGTACCCACATTCTTACTTGAAAGTTATGGAGCATATACTAACTTTCGAACACATACACACACACACACACACACACACACACACACACACACACACACATGAGTTATTATGCTGTACAAATCAGTAAGAAAAAGGAACTAGGTTTCTGTCAACAAAAGTAACACTGAACAAATAAGCAACTTTCCTCCAGTGAATAGGTCCCAGTGTAGAAATGACTGAAAACTCTGATTTGGAAAAGCAAATGCTTCTGCCCTCCATCTTTGCAAGAGATAGCTTTTTTTTTTTAAGATTAATTTATTTTGGTCCCGGCATGGTAGCCTAGCGGCTAAAGGCCTTGCTAAAGGCCTTGAACACACCAGGATCCCATATAGGCACCAGCTTTAATCATGGCGGCCCCGCTTCCCATCATCTCTCTGCTGTGGCCTGAGAAAGCAGTTGAGGACGGCCCAAAGACTTAGGACCCTGCATCTGCGTGGGAGACCTGGAAAAGGCTCCTGGCTTTGGCTTTGGCTCAGTTCAGCTCAAGCCATTGCTGCCGCTTGCGGAGTGAATCATCGGACAAAAGATGTTTCTGTCTCTAGTCTTCTCTCTGTATCTGCCTTTCCAATAAAAATAATAAATCAATTCACTCCTCAGGTGGCCACAATGGCCAAAAATGAGCTGATCCTAAGCAGGACCCAGGAGTTTTTTTCTGGGTCTCCCATGTGGGGACAGGATCCCAAGGCCTTTGACTGCTTTCCCAGGCCACAAGCAGGAAGCTGAATAGAAAGTGAAAGAACCAGCGCATGAACTGGTGCCCATGTGGGATCCTGGGGCATGCAAGGCAAGGACATTAGCCACTAGGCTACTGCAGGGTCTAATGGCACCACTGGGCCTGAGATAACATTTTCTACATTATGCTATCCGTAGACACAAAAAGGACCTTGTAGAGTCACTCTCGCTGTGCAGCAACAGCAAGCATGTTTAGAACTGTGGAGATTTCAGAGTAGTCTGAAAGGAGGAAGGGCAAATAGGCTAGAGCAATATACCTATGTCCATTTTGCTAAACCTACATTTTACTAATGTTCTCACTCTGTAGCATTAAAGATATGGATTATTCAAGAAGATGCCTACTCCTGCAAGGCAGCACTTACACTATTGGATAAAAACCTTTTCTCCTATTGTTCCCAGCGCAAACTAAAACAACCAAAAGGACACTGCACTTTTAGACAGAAGGGAAAAAAGTACAAATTTAGAACATTTTAACCATCTGTATTACTTCAGCAGAGATTTTCTATGATCATCTATCTTTAAATACACTTTGTTATACCAAAGATAGCCTCATAATAGAACAAATACACCACTTTATGCACCACTGGCAAAATAATGCAGCCAAACTCTTCATCAGAATTCTATTGCACACTTGCTGAGAGAGATCCTTTAGACTTACTTGGACACAAGTTATAATAAGTAACTTTCATGTGTGCATAAAAAGGAAAAATAAGAAAAATAAATTGGTTAAAATACTGGCAGCTCTGTCATGACTACTGCCAGAACCAACAATAACAAGATGCTATGGATTTAATTTAAGCCAATTTGAGAGGTATTAAAGTAAGAACAAAGGTGCCCTTCAGGATTAATGAAGTATAGTTACTTTAAAAAGTATTTATTAAGTATTCAGAGTAACTAAAAGTGGCTCAAGATTCTCAGACATCTTAAGAGTTTGAAGATTGTAACACACATGCATTTATATAAAAGATTTATTCATTGAAAAAAAAATGTTGCAGAGAAAGAGATAGAGATCTTCCATCCATTGCCTCATTCCCCAAATGGCCACAATGATTGGGCTGTGCAAGCCTTAGCCAGGAACCTGGAGTTCTGTTAGGTGTCTCACATGTGTGATGAGGCCCAGGACCATTTTCTGATGCCTTCCCAGGCATATTAGCAGGTTGCTGGATGGGAAGTGGAGCAGCAGAGACACAAATCAGAGCAGGTTTAACCACCGTGTCCAAATGTAGGCTCTGTTTCTGTAATTCTTACTGGTTCCTTGCTTTTTAAGCCTTGAATTCAAGATGATTTAACATTGGGGCCTGGTGCTATGGCTCAAGGGCTAAACCATCCCCTTTAACCACTAGAATCCTCTATGGGCACCAGTTCATGTCCTGGCTGATCCACTTCCCTTCCAGCTCCCTGCTTGTGGCCTAGGAAATCAGTAGAGGATTCCCCAAGGCCTTGGATCCCTGCACCTGTGTGGGAGACCTGAAAAAGATTCCTGGCTCCCAGCTTCAGATTGGCTCAGTTTTGGTAGCTGTGGCCACTTGGGGAGTGAACCAACAGTCAGAAGATCTTTGTCTCTCCTTCTTTATGTAAATCTGCCTTTCCAATAAAAATAAAATAAAATAAAATAAAATAAAATAAAATAAAATAAAATAAAATAAAATAAAATAAATCTTTTTTTAAAAGAGGAGTTAACACAAAACTCATTATTTTTTGTTAGCATTATGACATCCTGACGTTTTCTGCTTTTAACAACGGTTTCCTTAGATTTTAGGCATTTTAGACATAGGTTAGAAATCTTAGAATAATGTTTGACAATGTATTTCTTTTATAGTCCTCAAATCTGGTTTAGAAAGCTGTCCTGCTAATTTTTCCTTAAGATATTTCTCCTGACCTTTCCTCTGTCTTTATCCCACTGCCATTATCTTGTTCAGCTCTCACGCTCTCATTTTATGATGATAATGTGTCCTTGCCTTACTGGACATATTTTCTGTTCTGTCCAATTCTGATGACCACTGTCTGACTAACCATTCTCATCAGTCTCTTTCACAGAACTTTTTGGTCCCACTTGATTGTCCTACATCCGAGTGCTTTTTCAGTCCTGGCTACTCTGCTTCTGATCATGATCCTTGCTATTGGGCTTGAGAAACAGCAGGTAATATGTTAAGCTCTTGATTTTTCCTGCCATTCAAGAGAGAAACCCACATAGAGTTCCTTGCTCTTGGATTCTGCTTGGCTAAATCCAGCTACCATTTGGGGAGGGAACAAGAAGATGAACAGATACCTAACCTCTCTTGTCTCTCCTCACTTTTCCTCCCTCCCTCAATGCCTTCATCAATCTATCTACTTTTTAAAAGGGTTATTTATCTGTTTGTTCTAAAGGCAGAGTTTACAGAGGGAGAAAGTACGTAAAACCAAAACATAAAGATAGAAATTACCCAGAAAAAATATGGATACAATTCTATCAAAAGAAAGAAACTACTTCCAGAAAAGGGATGAAGGAAATGCTTTGTAAAGATTACAAAGAGCTTGGACAAGTGCAGAAAAGATAGCTAGTGGCAGCTTGATCAAAGGGATGGTGCTGGGAAAGCGTGGGAGTCAGTGTCTGCAGAGAAGATTTTTGGAAAAGGAATAGTAAGAAATAAGACAGAATGATTTCCAGGGTCTCGCGGCTCTGAGGATGACACTGAAGCATTTGGATATTGCCTTGCAGCCCAGGAGCATTTCTGAGCTGGTGAATGCTTGAGGAAGACTAGAGTATCACTATGTGTGGAAGGACAGGAA